AAGTACTGGGGCACCTGGGTGGTTCAGTCAATTAGGTGACCAACTCTTGATTTTGGCTCAGGTCATCATCTCAGAGTCCTGAGATGAAGCCCCAGTCACGCTCCATGCTGGGTGTGGAGCCTGACTAAGATTCTTTCTCTCCTGCTCCCTTTGTCTTCCCCACCACTGCATGCATACCTGTGCTTTCTCTCTCGTTCTAAAAACAAAACAAAACAAAACAAAAGACATGTTGAAAGCTGGATACTGTGATGAGAATACCCAGCTGAAGAGAGAACAACCTTTCTCTTTTTTTAAAAGATTTTCTTAATTTATTTTATTTAGAGAGAGAGAGAGCACAAGCCGGGGCGGGGGGGAGAGGGCAGAAGAAGAGGGAAAGAAGCAGATGCCTGGCGGAGCCCACAGCCCACCAATGTAAGGCTCAATCTCAGGACCCTGAGATCATGATCTGAGCTAAAACCAAGAGTCTGATGCTTACCTGAGCCACCCAGGTGCCCTGAAATCTCTCTTTTATAGGAATAAATGACCTAATACAGAAAAAAATTGTATTTAGACTAATTTCTATGATACATGGTATATGCTAAGAAAAAATTCATTGTCACAGCAAGTAATTCTTAATGTTTGGATTGAGAGAACAGTATGTGGGGGATATGGCAGATTAAAGAATCAATAGTTTTTCAGAAAACATGAGGTGCTTTACTGGAAAGAAGAACAGAATAATCAAATACACAGAAACTGAAAAGTGTGTAGTATTGAGAAATGAAGCAAGTCTTTGTTATCTATAGTATATTATAGTAGGGAAGTGGCAAGAAGGTAGAATATTTGATAAGAGCTTTGAAAGGTGAGCCAAAGAATTCTTAATTTACTCTGTAGGCAACAGGACGTCATTGAAGGTTTCTTGAGCAGGGAAGAAACAGAGAATGCATGTTTTATAGAAAATATCTGCAATGACTAAGAAGAAACCTTATTAGAAGAAGGATAATGTATTAGGAAAAGTAAACTCCTATAATAAATACATAGTGTAGTAGCTCAAACATAATATAATTGTCTTTCTCTTCCATATAACAGTGCAGGGCACGTATTCCTGGGAGGGCTTAGGAAAGGCGAAGGCTCTGCCCCATTCACAGATACAGGTTACAGTAGCTCTTCCAACTTCAACACGTGATTTGCAATGACAGAATAATCATTACTTTCCATCTTCAGGGAAGGTGGGGGGGAGCAAGAAGGAGCACATGTAGAAATTTTTTATGGAAAAAGACATGGAAATGGCAGATATCACACCCATAAATATTCCATTGAAGAGACCTTAGTCACATGGCCAGACTTAACTGAAGAGAAACTGGAAATTGAGTTGTCTGACTGGGCAGTTACATCCCAGTTGCAACATGAAAGAAAAAGCATAGCTTATCCTGGACAACTAGCAGCCTGCACCACATACTAACAGCGCCACTCTTTAAGTCAAAGATTCCCATTAGAGAACAAAGTGAGCCTGAAGAGCCTCCTCCCCCCACCCCCCGCCCCCGCCCTTGGTGACTTCTTTTGATTTGGCCTTTCCAATTGTTTTGTTAATTGAAATTATCAGCACTGCTTTCTGATCTCCCCAACCCTACTGTATCTTCCACCTTCTGACCAATTATCATGGTTAGGATAAAACTACATTCTAAAAATCTAATTGAAGGAGGCAGGGAATTTTTTGCAGTGAGATACATACTCTGATTTCAACATTTACCAATATGGCAAATTAAATTACTGTATTTACAAATATAACAAATTTCATTATTGTCCCCAAATTATCCTCTATCCCCCATCAAAGGGTTGGACATTGCATCCCATTTTCCAGCCATTTACAGAACCTTTATGGGATGCTGCATGGATATGGCATAGATACCCAGGCTTGCCATGAGACTTTCTCTGGCTAATGAAATGTGAGGACATTTGACAGAATGATTTAAAAGCCATATTGTTTCACAGCGATCTTTCAATCTGGAACCCAGAATGAATATAAGTCAGAGCCACATAAAATACAAAACTGAAGAACATGTAATATGGTAAAAAAAAAATACATGTGTAAATCTGATGGTGATTTGTTACTACCACATAACCTAGCAAAAGCTGACTAATGCATTAGAACAGCCTTCACTCTATCGGGTGGTATCTGGATATTTATTTTCTCCAACATGAATTTCTCCAAACTTAAGATCGCACTCTTTGCTGAATAGAATGAACATTTCATTGAAATAGTATAATATGTACTAAATAGAAAGAATATAGCTGATTTCAGAATAAAAGAATTCTCAAGGGAAAGGAATTCCATCTACTTATTTTTAAAGCATAGAATTCATTCTTCATTATTTCTGTTTATTTTTCAATTCTACTTGCCTTAACCATGGGCAAAAGTCTGAACTTACTCTATGCTTGCCATTTACAGTTTCCCAGTGCTCTTTATGTGCTGGTTTAATTATGATTTATTTTTCCAATGACTTAGCACTGAAGCACCATAGTTATCCGGATTCACCGACTTTCTTCTGCTCTCATTATTTCTATCTCACTCTGTGTATAATACAGACTGTACCATGTCCTTTTCCTTTGAAACATTGAACAACTCAGTTTCACTCTGCTTCTTTCCACTGTAATCTAGTTCCTACATCTATATTCCATCTAGTTAAAAAGAGCTTGAGCACAATGAGAATGGTCATTTTCTCAATCCTTGTAGTTTCTTCTTCTTGTCTCTCATGAATTTCCTATCACTGGGTCTCCTTTTGTTTTCCTTGCAGCAAATTAACAAACACAGTAAAAATATTTACTTAATGATTCTGCAATGGAAGATGGACTTCCAGCCAACTTATTGCTATTGATGGCTACTGTTTTTGAAAGAGGATAAATAACACCATCTATCTGAATTTTGAAAGTATCACAAAACACTTAAAATAATTAGTCACTACAGAATAATATAAACAATATCTATGAATGAGAAGGCATTATTAAATAAATCAGTAGCAGACTTATTATTAAGATGGGGTGTATTACACAAGCTTAGTATCTTATTGGCAGATTCCTGCATTCAATTAATATAATTGTAAATGATCCTAAATTTTCATTCTAACAAATTCTGTATGCTTTCTACTTGGCCATACTTTGCTGATACATAGCTCATTTATTGTATGTGCCAAAAAATAACGATACTCATACATTTAAAAATATATATGTCTATAATATTTTGTATAAACAAAAATTATAAGATTATATATATTATATATGTAATATTATATATATATATAATTAGAATTCTGGAATAGTGCAGATGAGAATGTTAAAAGTGGCTATGTTTGTGTCATAGGAAATAGTTACTTTTATGCTTATTTATATTTTCTTTATATTTTTTACAAACAATTCTTACTTGAAAACAAAACTGTGTATTTCTGATTTTGTATTAATACAAATTTGGTTTGTCTAAGTTTATAATGTATTTGAGGAATATTTGCTATCCCAAAATTATTTTATATAAATTTTGTGATTACAACTCATCATCCTATTCCATAAATGTTAAAATAGAGAATGAGAAGAAAATTGAACAATTAATCTACAAACAAATTTTCCCCCCTTACCTTGGCAAAACTGAGTTTTACCTAAATGATTATGCAAAGATACAGGCTTAGTTCACAACTTCTAAAGCCAGACTTTTGAAAAAAGTCTTAATTGGTAAAAATAATATTTTGCCCATAATCTTCATGTTCAGTTCTACATCAACATATTCACCACTAAATAAATTATCTTCTTTACATAAACTGTTTTTTTCTCATTAATGTCCATTGATAATTATAGGTTTTTGTCCCTCTCTCAGCTGTAGATTTTCATCGATTTTGTCACGGAGCAACTAATAAAACTTCATCTTTTAGGTATATAAATTTTTCCAGTATTCCAAGTAGCCTAAAATTTTTACTAATTTATTTAATTATGTTAACAACATTGTTTTACCATCACTGTCATCTAAGAAACATTCTGTATTCAAAGTATGTTTTAGTTTCTATCTACCCTTCTATTCTGGACAAGTAGAAATATTCTGGATAGGTCAGTCTCCATTCTATGTATATCATGTTATCTCCTCAAACTGCTAATTTAAAAGAATAAGAACAATCCATCTGTACGCATTATTGATACTCATTGGATAACAGTGAGCAAAGTTTTATTTACTCTTTGAAATGATACACACTTCCTTGAGAAACACACACATACTCACACATGCACACACACACAATCAAAAGAACAAGTCTTCCCCTGAAAATCTTATCTGATAATAAACTTTCCTAATATTTTCCTGCTAAAGATTAATAAACTTCTCTTGAAACTTATATCTAATTTATGTGACTTTAAGGGTCATGCTTTAATAACAATGATGAAACACGATTATTACTTCCTAATGCTGAAATTACAGTTTTTACATTGTAAATTTTTCCTGCTATGCGCCCTGTGGCACTAACATCTTTATCACTCCATGTGTTTCTAGTTTTAAAACCTTTACCCCTGCTGTTTGAAAAATATTTCTCATTTTCGTCCCCTATGGAGTACAGAAATCCCTAAAGGCAAAGCCATTAGTGATTTCTCTGCCTTTCCCCAAACACGTATTATGATCACCAGTGCTGCTCCCCCTGCCTCATTGGCTTTTGGTAAAGTATGCAAATGAGATGTTCAAAATACACACTTTTTGCAACTGTGCAAGTTCATACTGATTTATAAAATGGGCAGGCTATTAAAGTGACTGAAAATGTCAGCAAGATTTATGCATGGGTGACAAATTGTATTGGAAATGTTCATTTTTAACATGCTGCCCTGGGTTTTTTTTGTTTTTTTTGTTTTTTTGAAACAACCTAGATATTCCCTGTGATACATTTGTTTTAAGGCCATTTTTTTCCTCCCCAAACATACTTTTGACAGTGACTTTTTGACTGGAAAAATAAACAATGCTACTTCACAATCATACAAATTGTATTTTATCACAGAAAGCAGTACTTGGAAGATATAATAAATTTCCTTTTGACACCCATTTTCCCTATGTACCATTAGTCCACTATGGTTAAATAGTTTCCTTTTATAACAGATAACTTGAGTTGCATGCATAAATATTTCATAACTAAGATATAAAATTATGTAACCACCAAAACAATTACCCAGTCACCTCTGAGGAAAATATTTTGTTTATATTAAAAATGCACAATGTAGGGAACAAAAGATAGGAGTGACAGCTGACATATATCTTCTGGAGTTTATGATCCCATCTTTGGAAAATCCCATGTTACAAATGGTTTAGGCGATATTCATATGACACTCCTCTGTTTGTGAATTTGCTCCAGAATGCTCCAGCTCTTGAGGTTCACACAGGCAACTGTAGCACTCTTACCAGTCCAAGTGTGGTCTTTGAACAGACGTCTTGATATTTTATATCTCTGGATGACAGCCATTCATTCACTGAAGGAAGCAAAAAAGGAATAGGAAAAATAATACTGGAGCCAATTTACACACGTCATTTAAGAAATTAACTAGACCATCCGGACAGACCACAAGACACGTACACACGGCAGAAATAACACAAGTATAAAATGTGGTGTATCACAGAGAAGAATGGATTATAGAAATCAAATGCAGTAAATGAAGAGGTGCCTATGATTAATTTTACAAAGAACATCTTATCAGCAGTATTATGTAGTCTCTCTAGGTGGAAAAGTTTCGTGTGAGAATTCTAATTCTACTTTTTATATTCAGATCAGTTTGCACCAATACTATCATTGCAACTGATTTTCCTAATTAATTCATTAAGTTGCATAACAATTGGTTTACAACTAACAACTCTTCTTGATGTTAAAATGGTGAAGATAAAATTGATTCAAAGCCCACTTCTGATCATTCATTCTTACATATTCGTATGTCCTGGTGTTTGATGAAGCCCTCCTTGTATGACTGCCAGCCTCTCTGCCCTGTTTTCACTTAAGTGTCATGTCTATGTTCTTGCTTATTAAAAAGGGCTAGTGTTATGCATTGTACTGAAAAAATCCAAACACTCTTAAAAGGAAAAAGAAGCAAGAAAAAAACATCTGCTTTTCATCAAGGGGTGCCATCTTATAGCTTATACGAAAATGGAAGTTTGAAGAGAAAGCAATAGGAGTTATGAATAAGCTAAGATTTCTATAGGTGAAGATGCAGCTAGAAAAGACTGGAGAAATTGTTTTATTTATTTTTTGCTGTTGTTTTTACCTAAAAACTTTAATTTATCACTTAAATAAAATAAATACCATGTGTGAGATATTCTTTGTTCACATTTTTGTTTAAAAGAAATATTTTATGTTGATTTTGAAATAACCTTGTAACAATATTTTCCTCTAGATTTTTAACTTTGCTTCTATAACTGTTGGGGCCATCAGTCTCCTCACAACAGTAAGGATTTGCCTTCAAGTTATCATCAAGAAGCACGCTTTCCTGACTGACAGTCATTCCCATAGAAACATCTTTACCCCAGAGGATACAAGTGGAAACATTCAAAGAAGAACAGAGCGCACATTTAAGAACATCTGGTACAACAGCAAGAAAATCTGTCTATGAGACAAGCAAAGTCCATCTCCTTTACTGGCCCCTGCATTGAGATGCATCAGAGGAGTAATTTACTACAAGTGGTTCAATCAGGAATTTAACTCATAAAGTCTAGGGTTAACTTAAAAGATAAAAAAAAAGAACACATATACTTGCTTATATAGGTAATATACATGTGTATGTAAATAGAATGACATAGATATAATGTTTAATAAAACATTATCTTGAAATCTCATTTGATTTTGTCATCATCCTTAAAGATTAAATAAAATTAAATTAAAACCCCATAATGCATGTTGAATATAAGTGGGGCCTTTACTTTGCATTCAGAGTCCAGAGTGCGACCCATTACACGATGGAACTTTACTGGCATTCAAATGGCTAAATACATCTTCTATACAATTGGAAATGTCACTACACAAATGCGTTGACTTTCCCCACCAGACAGCTCATGATTTATTTCCCTAGTAATAACTCCTTAGCAGCAGATCAAAAATAGACTGGGTTAGTTGAAGAAACATTAATTGAGCATCTAATAAATTCTAGATAATTGAGGTAAGCTGTGGGAGTACGATGATTGAAAAGGCATGTTTCCCACCTGTGAGGGGGTAAAGTATAATGACAATGGATAGAGGGACTAGGCTATCACTTAAGATAGAGTTCCACTGCCAATAGAGTCATTGTTTATTGGGGGTGGAAGGAATGGGGATGCTACCAAGAGTTAGAATTTTGGTGTTATCCTTTTCTCAATGAAGGGTAGTCTCTTGCATAAATTGATGAATCTCAAATGAGAAAATCTATTTTACTTAAACTATTCCTATGTTTCAAAATATATAAGCCTTATACAACCTATCTGCAAACAATACAAGCAAACTTTTAATTTCTCCAAAAATAATTCCTAGATAAACAGGCCTTTTAACTAAGTCCTCTCCCGCCCCACTTAGATCATTCTCATTTATCTTTTGAAATCTCAGCCTTGATGTTATTGGACAGTAAAAAGGCTGCAATGGGACCCCTGTCAAAAGACAATTTTCTTCCTTGAATGATAAGCAATGGAACATGTAAGAACAAAAAGCCAACTGATTAATGGCATGCAATTCATCTACAATTATCTTGCCCGTGTTACACAGTCATTGTATAGATTGGACTAGATCATTAAATTATGTGACAGCAATCAGCCATCTAACTTTAAAAGAGGTGGGAAGAGCCAATTTAAAAACTTAATATCTCAGGATGATACAGTAGCCTGAGAAAACCAGCCAATTTAGAGAAAATTACCATATGTACCAACCAGAATGATAGATGTGAGCCTTAGTTAAGCATTTGTCCCTGTGCTGATGATGTTTAGGATTCAGTAAAGAACTCTGTGCTCCTTCAATATGTGTTTAAATAGGGTGGTGATCCAGGACAGTAAACACTTAGAAAAGTGAAATATAGACTTTAGGAGGAAATACGTTTTCCTGGTAACATTCCACTCTCTGTAAATTAACTAGAAATTTGGAACCATGTTCTGAGATGTGAAGATCAAGGTTCTACTGTGTTCTTCTATGTTTAATACTTAGTTGTGCCTCATATGTATTGCATCTTTATTTGACATACTTATGTATTAGATATGAATTCTATAAAACCAGAGGCATGAGGTTCTCATTCAAAATGGGATTGAGGACTTTAAATAACAATGGAAAGGTCCAATGTGAATTACTCCCATAATTATAATGTAACTAGTATTGCAGTCAGAAGATATGAAAGTAGCCAAGTGAAATGTTAGGAAAGTAAAACATATGTATCCCTGTCTCATTCTTTTAGTTAAACATTATTGAAAGCATAATTTGTGCAAAGCGGTAGTAGGCACAAGGGACTCAAGGAAATTGGGACCTAATGGGGTGACAGAGTCTATAATTACATTTGACTTGGACGAATGCTATACTAAGGGGAAGAGCATACTGGGAGCAACATGATGGGAGAGAGCACACTACAGGGAAATCTAGCACAGGTCATCATCACAAAGAATGACATCATGACATCATTTCAGAGTTCAATGAAGCCAATTAGAGTTTTCCTAAATTAATAGAGGATAATTTTCAATGCATACTGTCTTAGTCAGCTCAGACTGGCATAACAACACTGGGTGGTTTAAAGAACAGAATTTATCTTTTACAGTTCTAGAGGCTGGGAAGTCCAACATCAAAGTGATAGCTCATTCGGGTCCCTGGTGAGGGCCCTCTTTCTGGCTTGCAAATGGCCAGCTTCTCACTGTGTCCTCATATACATCTTCTTATAAAGGGGCCCCACCCTCATGAACTGATCTAATTACCTCCCAAAGACCTCATCTCCATCATACTGGCAGTTAGGGCTTTGATACAGGAATTTCAGGTAGACACATTCAGTCCATAACACATACTTCATCTCACACAAACCTGTTGTGTTTTTGTTCAATACCTATGATAATTTCCTTATATGTAAAGTGACTACTTTTCCTTTGCTTCAAATATACACTTGATTCTATGTTGAATGCTTATCATCAAATCATGACACTGAACTAACTGATATCAGAGAAGTTTATGAGCAGTGTTCAGGGTTAGCAAGTATTTCATTTCCCATAACTGCACAACATAGCCAAGATCATCTGGATTGATGGACAATTTCTGCCTTCTCCTTGTGAAAATCAAGTTGATTATATGGCCCAATTGTGGATGTGGTGTTAGTGGGAACTGAGCAAATGTGACTTTTAATGTTATTATTTTATTTTGAATCACTTTGACACTGTGAAGGAATCATATACTGATTTTTTTTTTCTCCTTTATAATGAGAAGAAAATCTTCTTTATAGAACTTCTATCTTTTGAGCATAAGTAGTTGGTAACTACTTCAAAATCATGGCTGCTCTTTTTTTCTAAAACTCGAAGAACCCCAAATCCAGATGACAGATACATATGAACATAACCCTATAAATTTCAGGATGGTTCTTATTTGGTGCTGCATGGTAGGGACACTTGAGGTCACATATATTTCTTTTTGTTACTTTATTAAAGCCTGTCTATCTTTATGTAGATGCTCTCATGAAATAACCTTTTTAAATTAGTTAATTATTTATTTATTTTTAAAGATTTTACTTATTTGAGAGAGAGTGTGTGAGTGAACAGGGGGAGGAACAGAGGGAGAGGGATAAGCAGACTCTGCACTGAGCACCGAGACCAACACAGGGCTGGATCCCAGGCCCCTGAGATCATGACCTGAGCTGAAATCAAGAGTGGGACGCTTAACTGACTGAGCCACCCAGGTGCCCCTATTTTTTAATGTATTTATTTGAGACAGAGAGAGAGAGAGAGAGAGAGAGAGAGAGAGAGAAAGCATGTGGAGGGGAGGGAGAGGGACAAGCAGATTCTGTGCTGAGTCTGGAGCCAAGGATATAGGGCTGGATCCCACAAACCCAAGATCATGACCTGAGCCCAAACTAAGAGTCAGACACTTAGACTGGGCCACTGAGGCACCCCATAATGAAATAACTTTTAAATGATCCATGAGACTGTAAGCCTAACCTTCTTCCATTTATACCTATTGCTTTTTAATGAATTAAATCAGGTGAATTTTTAGCCTAATGATAACACTGATAATAACAGTAGTAACATTGTTCACAATGTATTGAAACTTTAAACTATGTGTCAACTATTCTTCTAAGTGCATCACATGTATCCTTTCCCTTAGTCCTAGCAATAATCTTATTTGTTCCACTGAGGCAGAAAGAGCTAAGCAATTTACCTGAGATCATAAAAGTACAAAGAGGAAAGGGTATGGATTGAACACAGGTAATCTGACACCATAGATAATTCCCAATAATCATTCCCACAGTAGTTGGTAACTGACTCAAAATCACAGTTGCTCATT